ATAAACCATGAGAGTTCCGAACTTTTAACTCATAATCTCTTCGGTATCCGAAAATATTTCGATTTAAGGAATAACTCTTTGTCCCAAAAAGAGTTTAACTCCGAGACACAAGAAAACCAACCTCCTTGTGTTACTAGTAGACCACCATCTCTTTGGTAACCGATGTAATAGTTGTAATATGATCATCTTGTTCTCAATTTTTGGATAGCCAACTACACTGTGTTTGTTCATATACATAGCCATTTATTATTTCTCGAAATTTTAGGTCAAATTAGATATTATTTCTCCGTACTGATTCTGAATAATATTTGTAAGAAGCTTTATTGAATTTCTCCGTATTGAGACAGGAGTCAGGACGATGTTGATTATTTGCGTACTACAACGGCTCAAACTTCAAAGTGAATCAAATTTTTTGCCATTTTACAATAAACCAATATTATATTTTCTTCGACGGTACGTACGAATCGATTTCTAAACCACTAAAGAGCTCTAAAGCGAAGTTGAATTTATGTGCAACAAATCCTTGTCTGAAATATTAAATTCGAGTATCGTTTTAGACGTTATAATTTTAACACGTGTTGTATTAAATATCCTAATATGTGGTGCAAAATCGCATTATGAAGAAGCAAGGACAAATATTAATAATTTTACAATTTACCACTCAGACAGCTTTTTTGGTTCCATGTGCGGGGTACAATTTCCGCGTTATCGTCTTGTCGTGTGTCCAACATGAACATAATATTAGAGTACCCACGTTAAAATACCTGAAGAGTTTCTTCTTGAATATAATATTGCTATTTTCAATTTAGTTTAATTATATAATTAATCATGAAGCAATCAAAAAATTTAAACCAATGATATAATAACAAATGTTAGTTGAGTTTCTTAAAACATTCTCATAGTTTCTTCATGAAAAACTCTCATATTTCTCTTCCTATATTTTACCAATATTTATTATTATTTTGTCATAAAAAACTCATTAAGCACCAACCATTGTGGACAGTTTTAAAGCGCATCGGTTAGACGACATCATTTTGGGATTTGAAGCAATGGACCTTGTGGGAGTTATCAATCGGCCACGCGCATGGCCTTCTTACCATTACATTTTCGGAGAGATGTGCATCAAACTTCAAGTCTTCTCTCATTGGAAAATTGTGAATGAAGTGAGATCAACAAATAGAGGAGTTTTTCTGATTGCTCAGAATGTCACGAAAGACTTGAGGACTCACTCTTATGTGGGTAAGGTTTTCCGTCTTGGCTTAAATCCATCTTTGACTTTGAGAAACGCTCTTCCTCTATTTTATAAGTGTGATCTAATTTTGGCTCATAAGTTTTGGTGTATGCTTATGAGTTTGTATTTTAGGTAGGCTTTTGTGAGGCCTTGTTTGTAGATAAAGGATAACTAATCAGTCTGATCTGTAATCGTGACTCAAATTCAATATATTTTAGATGCCAAAAAAAAAAACCAGCCATTGTGAATGCTAGTACCTACAACTTAATTTGCACATGCCAATATACCAAATACTTTGGATTATGTAAATTAATTACAACGTGCTTAAAACAAATAATTACCAACGTTCTTAATTACAATGCTAATTAAACTTTAACAAAAAAAAACGTTCTTAATTATAAGGATAAATATAAGAGATTTTTAATATTATAAAATTTTTATATTTATCCATACCATTTTTGGGTTTCTAAATATAGAATATGTATTACCGATATTTAGTGGATAAATATAACA